ATATCTTTGATTCTCTAAAGATAAAACAATGGAGAGAACTCCAAGTTGTTAAGCCTCAAAACACACCACAAAACACAGTACGACTTGTTGTTGATAATGACGCAGGTACTGTTGCAAAACACAGCCCAAAAAGCCTGCTGTCGTTAGCTTTAGACTGCATTTATAAAGGGCTTGTATCTCCATTAAAAGAGGAAAAAAACTATCATCAGGTACAAGTAAATGAACCTTTTTTGGCAATAAACCAAGAATCAACAGTAATTCAAGAAAGAACTGAGAAGAAAATACAGATATTAGAAAACAAAGTCGTCACATTTGAAGAGCTACTTTTGTTCAAGGTAAAAGCGGGAATTAGCGAAAAAGTAAAGCGGCGCAAAATAGCACCAGGAGCCGAAGTAATCACTCACGACGACGTTCTCAAGCGTAAAATCCAAGAAAAAATAATAAATGTGAAAATAGAACGTCATGAAAAGAACATTAAGACAAAAATACAAAAAAGTAAAATATCAGTACAAGCTAAGAAAACAAACGCAATCAAAAATAAAAAAAAGAAATACGAAAAAGCGCCGTTAAGTGATTCGAAATATGACTATGAGAGTGACAACGATTCTAATTTTGTAACCTCGGACTTACCTATGATTTCGGAAGTTCAAGCTGAATCTTCTACTACAACAAAAAAAGGAAAAGGCATTGGGAAAAAGAGTCGTGATAGTGAAAAAGAAAACATAGATAAAAATATTACTAAACCTAAAGTTAAGAAACGAGCTAGAATTATATCCCCTGACTCCACAAGCGTTTCAGACTGCGTAAGTATTTGTAGTGATTCCGATGATGTTGATTGGGATAAAGACAATGATGTAGAAGACATAAAAATGGCTTCATCAATAGATACGGTAGAAATGGAGAATAAAAACAAAGAAGTTGAGGAAATCTACAACAGTTCTCATAGAGAAAACGAACAGACAAAGGAAGGTAGCAAGAGACAAGATAAGGAGAACAAAAAGAGAGAGCAAGCTTGGTGGTCAGAAACGGAAAATGATGGAGATAGCGAAAATTTTAACATTAACGTAAATGACCATGTAATGGTAAGATATTATAACAGAAAAAAGTGGACATATTATGTGGGATGCGTAGAAGGAATAAAAGCTAATAAAGAGGAGACTTACTCCGTAAGGTTTTACAAGACCATTAAAAACCCACTAAAATTCGTGCTGGCTAAAAAAGTTGACCATGATGATGTGCCCACACTCTCTATAGTAAAAAAAGTAGATTTGAGGCAAGCACCGAATAATCATAAAGAGTTTGTTTTGTCTAATTGTGAGGACAATATTTATTTTTCATAAAAATAATTTATAATATCGTAAGAATACTGTGATTAAGAAGGTTAAACACAATTTTTAGTTTTTGATATTCTTGTTAGATCATACAGAATCACAAGATTTATTTTAATTCAATATTTTTAAGCTTAGTGCATCTCTCTTACGGTGGCAAACACGCCCATGGCATAACTTTAGGACTGACACAAAATGCGATCTCTTTACACGTAGTACTTTTGCTTAATAATTTTAATATGGATACATGTATGGTTAGTGTTGAAATTCATAAGTTTTTGTTTATTCGTAAGTGTTTTTAATATCTTTTAACTTATAATTTTGATTTTGTTAATTTTTTAATTTTAACTATAGAGGTATTAGACTGATAAAATTTGTTTTCTATTATGTAAGTATACAAAAATGTAGGTTATTTTTATAAAACTTAAACCATTACAGGTTTACGTTAAAATTTTATAAATTTCTATTAATTTTGATTTGATAACGACATTTTATGTCACTTTTTAAAGATTATAAGACCAAAAACTTTGTTATGCCATTGCCATTATAACGCAAATGCACGTTTTCTGTGTAAAAAGTATATTTATAATATATTTTTGAACATTTTTAATCGCCTTTCATTTAAAACACAAATTATATAAATTATTCTAACAGTGTAAAAAATAAAAAAATTAAATCCTTGCACCATGATAGATAGCGCTAAATCGAAGACATGATTCTTAGGATTTTGTGAAGGTGCACATAATAACACAAACTTATACAATTTCTAAACAAGAATTGCAAGAAACTGACTACCAAAGTTGGTGAAGCAAATAGTAGTATTTTTTATAAACTGTCAGAAAATGCAATTTTAAATAGTAGCCAAAAATGTTTATGACATCTGTCACGAAGGTAAGCCGGTCTTACCCTTAGATGTAAAAAAAATAATAATCTACGAATTTAAACCGTATTTTTGTAACACTAAAGCACACATTTGAATGACAAACATTTCTTTATTGTTATAAAATATATATATACATACAACCCATCATATTTCATATTTAATGTCTACTAGACGGACTTGCCTTGAATACCTTGGGAAGACCGTCTATGCGCCGAGTTTTTAAAAAGGATTTATATTTGAAATATCTCTACTGTTTATGCAATTACAATTGCACACATTTGTTAATTATAATATACTTCATCACATGAGATACTAAAGATCGGCTTAGAACTTAAAATAAAGAAGTTTTATTTATTTCAATCCAGTGATGAATAAAGTATGCCGGTCTTCCCCATGTTGACTGTATAAGAATATAATAAAAAAATCAAGCAATATTACTAAAAGTATGTGGCAAATAATAAAAGAACGCACTAATAAGGGCATAAAAACGAAAACAAAACAAAATATTTCATTAAATATAAATAATTTGACTACTGACGATCCGGTTAGAATTGCCAACCATTTAAACTACTACTTCTCATCAGTGGGGGCCCCTATTCAAAATGATCGCCTTGCTGCTGGTCGACCCGTTGACAATCGTTCTCAAAATTCAATATTTATACGTCACACTGATGCCAAAGAAATATATGATGTAATTAGAAACCTGAAAATAAACGAAGTTTCGGTTATGACGAACTACCGCCAGTATTAATAAAGGCATGTGTTGTGGAACTTGCGGAGCCTCTTTCGGTCTTGGTAAACCAGTCACTTTCCGTGGGGATTTTTCCAGAGCTACTCAAAATTACAATTGTAAAGCCTCTACACAAAAAAAAACGATAAGACTTGCTGTGATAATTACCGTCCAATAGCACTCCTATCCACGTTTTCTAAAATTTTTGAGACCGTTATGTACAATAGAGTTTATTCGTTTTGTGAGAAATATGCAATATTTAATAATAAGCAGTACGGTTTCCGAAAGGGACGTTCTACAGGCCTTGCTTTATACAATTATGTAAATGAAATATTGAAAATAATTAATGACAAACAACATGCAATTGGAATCCTATTAGATATGAGCAAGGCATATGACAGGGTTCTATATCCAATCTTACTAAACAAGTTACATGACTTAGGTGTGAGGGGTACAGCTCATAATTGGTTTGTGTCATATTTATCGCAACGCATCCAATTTGTGGACGTCGAATTTTATGACCATTACACGGGATTAATTGAGAGTGTCAGGTCTGACAAAGTAATGTTGAGTCGCTCTATCCCCCAAGGTAGCGTTCTGGGATGTTTGTTATTTTTGATATATATAAACGACTTGCCTAATCAATTTGATATTCCTTGCATTCTTTTCGCCGATGACATTTCGATGATTCTGCCTTGCCCCAATATTACACAATTACATGAACTTTTAAATATAAATTTGACATTAATAACAAGCTGGCTTAATGACCATAATCTACAAGTTAATTTTAACAAAACTAAATTAATGCAGTTCCGACCATATCAAAAACGCCCCATAAACTTTATTTATAAATTCAACAACATTCCGATTGATTCCGTAAACTCCTTCTGCCTCCTAGGGATAAATATCGACATAAATTTGAATTGGAAGGACCATGTGAATAAAGTTGTAGGTAAACTGTCAAGTTTTATATATGCTCTTAACGAGCTAAAAAAATCAATTGACCTTAGGACAGCAACTAGCGCTTACTACGCGTATGCTCATGCCTGGCTAAGCTATGGCGTTGTATTGTGGGGCAACAGCATTGACGTAAAAAAAGTTTTTGTATTACAGAAAAAATGTATCCGCATACTCGCCAATATAGATTCGTTTACCAGTTGTCGATCATATTTCAATAAATATAATATTTTAACTTTGACATGTATATATATTTTACAAATGTGTCTAATTGTAAAGAATAATTTGGATGCATATCCTGTGTATTGTCGTTCGGCCAACCTAAGACCCAAAAACAGGCTAGCAACAACTGTTTCGAAATTGCAAATGGTCAACTTGGGGCCATATTCTATGTCCATTAAAATTTATAATGCACTTCCTCATTGTTTAAAATTAATAAATAGCGTAAAAATTTTTAAAAAACAACTTAGTAAACATCTATGTGACAAATGTTACTACTCATTACAAGAGTTTTTTAATGACAATGAAAATTATTCACAATGATTAAAAAATGTAATTTTATATTTTTTATCCGCATTTAAAAATTATATAACATAATTATTTAATTTAATAAAAATAAATGTATGAGAATAATATTACTATTAATGTATTACTATTATGCAATACTAAAATAATTTGACGATTAATTTTTTATAAAAACTTTAGATTTTTAGGCTCTACATTCTTTTTGACATTCTTTTGACATTCATTTCTTACAATTGATTTATTAACTTTCGGAATATATTAGCTTGAATTTAATTATTATAATTGTAATAATATTCAAATATATTTAATAGTATTCTAAATGTATTATAATATTTTAAAATGTATAATTGACATTGCTACACCCTTACAGGGTACATGTTTGATACTTCATCAACTATTATAAGACCTAAATGTAACAACATGTTTTGCAATAAACGTTTATTATTATTATTATTATATTCTGTTAAGTAGGGTGTTAAGCTACATAAGGGACGGCTGGCCTCAAGATATAGAAATTCGGGAATTGAAACCTTTTTATAGTCGGAAGGCGGAACTTTATTTAGAGTTAGATTGCATCATGTGGGGGCACAGAGTGATTATTCCAAGCGCGTGCCGGGAGCGAGTCCTAAAGGAGCTACACGATTCCCACATGGGCATGGTGAAGACGAAGGCGTTGGCGCGCAGCTATGTATGGTGGCCCGGCCTGGACGAGGCGGTGGAGAGGGTGTGCCGCGCCTGCGAAGTGTGCGCCGCAGTGGCCGCCGCACCGCCGCGCCACGTGCCCTGCCCGTGGCCATATCCTAGTCGTCCTTGGTCTAGAGTACATGTCGATTTTTTGGGGCCTATTTCGGGAACAAAATATCTAGTACTTGTTGACGCTTACTCCAAATGGATAGAGGTGACGAGCATGTCTACCACTACAGCTAAAGCTGTCCTGAGTAAGCTGCGAGAACATTTTGCGAGGTTCGGTTTACCCAAGCAGATCGTTAGTGATAACGGTCCGCCGTTTGCGAGTGAGGAGTTGCAGGCATTTTGTAAACAAAATGGTATTGAACAACTCTTTTCGGCACCTTATCACCCCGCCTCTAATGGCCTTGCTGAAAATGCAGTGAAGCTGTGCAAGAGGGTTATTAAGAAAGCTATAGTTCAAGTTGTCAACGTAGACGCTGCCCTAAGCAGATTCCTACTTGTGTATCGCAACACTCCTCACAACACTACAGGGGATAGTCCGGCCCAGGTATTATTAGGTAGGCCGGTACGTACCCGACTCGATTGTCTTAAGCCAGACCGAGAAAAACGGGTAAATTCTTTCCAACGACAGCATCAAGCTACTGCAGACGGAAAACCTCGATCGTTTAATGTAGACGAACTAGTTTGGTTTAAATTATTTAACACCTCAGGTCCTAATACTTGGGGGAAAGGAAAAATGTTGGAACGAATGGGGGAGACTGATTATAGGATAGAAACGTTAACAGGTATAATGCATCGGCATATAGATCAATTAAGGAAACGTGATTCAAGTGGTGAGGGAATTGCACAACGTAAGAATACGCGTATTTATCCACCGAGTTGTTTACCCGTAGCAGAAGCTACAGAGCATGCGTCGAGCTCGAGGTCGGGGGAGAGGGAAGGCACTAGCGACGACAACATCGCGCGCCCGGCGCCGGTTCCGAACCAACCCGCGGAGCAGGCGCAGCCTGGCTCGCCCGCCACTGAACGCGTGCGGCCCGAGTAATTACGGCCAGTTGTAAGGCCACCCGTTCGCTATGGTTGGGATGTTTAAAATTATTTGTTTCTAGTATTAGTTTAGAATAAGGGTGAAGGTGTTATGTATAAGTGGGTATTTGCCGAAAACACAATCTGTGGTTTGGCTTTTTTCTGTACCGCAGTTCAAAAATAAACGTACTACGATTAACACCGTGTTCATTATTTATCATCTATGAGCCACTTTTGTATCTCACTCTTTAAATTGTTTATTGTGGGTGGCTTGTTTATTTGTGTGACATGATAGCTTGCATTGTCCATGATTATAACAGAGGGTTCTTTTAAATTAGGGATTAATTTCTCACCTAACCACCTCATGAAGTTTTCATGGTTCATATCATCGTGGTAGTCAGCCATTTTTGATTTAGTGCTGTACACTAGCAGTGCATTGGGCACAAATCCTTTCTCTGAACCAGCATGTATGATTATATGTCTTCTCCCAGGGGAAATTTTATCTACTACACCACTAGTTGATGGTCCTTGCCAAGACTTTTTCACTTTATAATTCTGATGGACATATGTCTCATCGAGGTATACAATTTGTTTACCTTGTTGCCTCTTTTCATTGATGGTACGAAGATATTTATGTCTCCATGCTGATATTTCAAAGTTTTCCATGAGTATAAATCTCTCATTTTTATTTTTTTTAAATTCAAAAACATTTTTAAGTAATATTTGGTGCAATGTTTCACAGCATCCAGAGAATTCAATGCTTTCTCTTAGTTCTACAAGCAAAGTTCTTAAGGTGGGAACTTGTTTTCTTACACAATAGAAGTCGTTGATTTTGGTTCGTATAGCTGACACATCAAAATCGTCTAAATTTGACACTACAGGTTTTCTTGGTCGTTTTTTTCCTGGAGTGTTCCATTCCCCTTGATTCAAAGACCCTTCTGTCTTAATTCTCTTCAATGATCTGACACTTACTCCTAGAAAACACAGAAGAAAACCTATTTAAAAAATTTAAAATAAATTTTGCAATGAAAAAACCAATGTCACGGTAGGCCAGAGTTAGAGCAGACCCAGCCCAGGTAGCAAAAAGTCCCAGAGTTTGAATTCTAACTGAGGCTAATTATTTCAGGTCAAAATGTATTGTTGAGCATTATAAATATGTTTGAAATTATAAATGCAAAAATAAAAAGCATTTAAAATATTACCTGTCATTGTGGATATTTGATTAATATATCCTGACTCCGAATGTACTGACTCACATTCTTCGAGCATTTTGAGTTCTTGGACTAATCTTGCAATTGCGTTTTTTATATCTTCGTCATGCAAACCGTCTAAATTCAAAAAGAAAAGCTTTATTAGAGAAAAATAATAATAAATCAAATCGCACGTATCAATATGGTTAGGAAAGACTACCTGATGCCGAAACGATTTCGTTTAAAATCCGTTCTTTCTTCTTTAATACTCCAACGGTCTCACTTTTAACTTGATCGAACTTGTTAATCATGGTAAATAGCAAACACCTAACATTGCTTTTTATTGTTTTTCCCATTTTAAATGTAAAATTTATACGAAAATAGAAATCTGTGAGGTTAGAATTACGAACTGTCAAAGTACTTTTGACAGATATTTAGTGTTGCCTTATAAAGATTTTGAAATAATGCGTTGTGCCAGCTTTCGTTGGCCAGACTCTATAATAGCCTGTTTGTTCACCATTTTGATGAAGCCCATGCATGTATAGTTCTACTTGGCTGGATGAAAAGTTGCGCTGGCAACACAGCTGTTAAGTTGTAAACTTAAGTCTTCCGTATTTTTATTTCTTAATTTAATTGTTTTTATCATGTTATTCTTGTAAAACCCCATTTCATTGCTGAATAATATCATTACAAAATATACTTATACAGTTTTTAAGTGCATACATAGTGATTTGATCAGGTTTAATAAGTAAACAAAGTGACGTTGAAAACCGTCAGGTTAACCGGTCTATTACTTTTCAAAAAGTGTCTTTATGTGAAATAATATCAGTGGTTGCAAAGCACATTTATCAATTAAGTTCATTGTTACACAACTGCAACAGTAATTATCGAGGTTAAAGGTAATTTTAGCATTTTTCTAGTCACTTTGGAAAGATAGCCGTTACGAATTTGTATTTAAAAATTCTATGCTATTTCGTAAGTATTTCCATATTTATTAAGATAAACAGGTAGTTAAACTTATAATATAACTTAAGAGTGGTTATTTTGTCTAATATTTAGTCTTTGTACGGATAAATTGTAAATAACATAACCTCACTATTTAGTAATCGCTCGATCAGCTGTCTTTCTTGCTAACGTTCTTTTCAAATTGTTTTCATTTTCTTTTTCAAAAGCATAAACAATGTTTACACGCAAAGCCGCTGCGGGACGTCAGTTGGAGGATAAACTCCAACACGCTTTATTAGAACTCAAAACAGCTAAGGCACTGAATGAGCAATTGCTAACAGAAAGAAACGATAGTGAAAAGGAAATATTGGACATTTTAGATAGGAATAGGCAATTAAAAAGTGATATGGCTGAATTGCTTATACAAATTACGGAGGTACAGTACCAAAGAGACCAGCTACAAATAGTGGTAGATGGATTCGACCAAAGCAGCAGCGCATTCGAAGAAGCCCTTACACGCATTTCTTCATTAGAATGTGACCTACGTGAAGCATACAATCAAATAACTATAATGGAACAAGCAAGGGACGAACAACAGTCAACACAGTCGCAGTCCCTATTTGATGAGCTGGTCAGCAGTGCTCCCTCAATGGTATGTGCTGTACCACCCTCCTCTTCAGAATCAATCACCATAGATCTGACTTGTGAAAGTCACTCATTTAATTCAACAGCTTTAAATTGTAGTAAAAAAAAATTAAAAAAGTATGTTAAAATTAATAAATACATATCTACCACAAACAAATTAATAAAGAAAAATGCAGCATTTTGTAAAAATATATCATTAAGAAAAGAACGTCAGAGTTTGTTGAATGAATGGAGTGATTGTACTCAAAATCTTGAGAAAAATAGGCTTAGCTATGAATGTGACACACAGCGCCTCCAGGCAGAATTACTTAGTGTAGCAAATTCATTAAAATTAATAACACAGAAATATGAAACTGCGCAACAGGAGATTAAGGAGCACACACAGGCTATGGATAATTTATTAGATTTATGTAGATATAATAATGACAGATTTGAGTCTCTAACAAATAGTCAAGTTTGCAATTGCAAAGAAATAAAACCACAATCCTCCCTGTCTGTGTGTGTCACTGATCCCTCCTTATTGTTGTTGCAGGAATCTAGTTTCGAATCAAAAAATACCTCTTTGTCAATAACTAGGTCAAATGAAATTCAAAAAAATATTGTTATGTATAGTGATGAAATGGGTAAAAATATAGGTTTGCAACTTAACCATCTAGGAGTAAAATTAACAAATATTTGCATGCCAGGTGCAACATACTGTAAAATATTAGATAGTATTTTGTCAACTAAATTTGACAAAGACACTTCATTAATAATTTTAATTGGCAGAAGAGGAAAATTTAACAAAAAAGATTTAATACAATATTTTTCACAGTTAAATAATTTAATTAATATAAAAGAAATTATTTTGTTAGCTTTTCCCTTCAGCAATAGCCTCACAACAAGTGAAAATAATTTGAGACATAACTTAAATTTTACACAGCTTGACATTTCATTATAGTAAATTTCATTTTATGGATACTAATAATTTTATTAGTAAATATTTTTATTTGACTAAAGATAGGTATTATCTTTCTAGTTATTTTAGGAGACAGATAGCAGAGTTGCTATCATATTATATTAATTATTCAGCCAAATCATTGGCTACCAGACCGGCTGCTTCTATTGAGCAGTCCGTTGACATAGGTCAGTTTACTGACAATAATCATTCTGTTGAAAATAATTCAACTTCTAATTATTTAAATTAATTAATAAGACAACGGAGAGATACTCTTGCAACACTATGACAATAAAAAAACAACCTAAAACACACAGAAATAAAATAAATTGTATATTAAACCTGGTGCATCAAAATAATCAAGGCATGAAAGGCAAAGAGTTAGAAATATAATTATTTATTAACTGTAATAATATTGATATTCTGTGTATTACTGAACACCACTTTGTATCAAAACATCAGTTCATGTTTAGCTTCAACAATCACCAGGTGGCTAGTTCGTTCAGCAGAGAAAAAGCTATTCATGGCGGCTCTTTAATTATTATTAAAAATAATTTAAAATTTAAAGAACGTACAGATATTGTGAGCCTATCTATTGAGCGGACTATAGAGATATCCTGCATAGAGCTTGAACGGTTTGTTATATTAAGCGTGTACAGACCCCCTCATTCATCTTACGAACTATTTGAAAAAACATTAGATGAAGTTTTAGGCAAATTAAATAATCCAAATAAATATATTGCTGTTTGTGGTGACTTCAATGTTAACTTATTAGAAGATTCCAGTGCTAGCAGTAGGCTCATATCATTTTTCCAATGTTATAATCTTGTGAATCTTTTCTTGGTGCCTACTAGAATAACTTCTACTACTGCCACTTGTTTAGACAATATTTATACTAACGCCGTACCTAGTAATAAATCTATTATAAATAAATTAACTTCTGATCACTGCGGTCAATTGGCCACTTTTAATATAGTTGTTGACAAAATGCCAAAAAAGGATATCGTCGCTGCGCGTGCGAGACCGCGTAAGAGCAACTTGTAAATA